GGAGAAGCAAGCTTCAGTAAAAAAAAAAAAATAAAAATGACCTTTTCATAGATCACGCTTGGTCTGGGGACGGAGTACTGAGCAAGCTGCCCATTATTTCTCTCTCCAATGAAGCAGAATCACAGCAGAAAGTCTCCAATTTGATGTTTAGGGATTATTCCTAAACACCTTTAAACACATTTCAAACTATGTCTCTGAAACATTGTTCTCTATTTGTAGCTGCCTAAGCTAGACTGTTAAAATCTACCAGGATAAATACAACTTAACTAAGCACCATTTTTTGCCAGACGCTACAGATCTTCGGTTATCCTATTCCTTCTGTCCCTATCCAATGCACCTTCTTGCATGACTTCACACCTAATCCAAAACAGTATCTCACTCTACAGAACATCCAGGATACATACACCTATTTTAAATCACCATTAAGTGATTCAAGTAACTCTATTTAGCTTATAAGAAATGCTCCCAGAGTCAGTTTAAATACTGACCAGAGCTAGTTCGTTTCTGCCTAAAAAAGGCCCAGATCCAAGTAAATCAATGAATAACTTTTCCACATGTTTTTTGATACTCTGGTGTTACTATGCCTGTGAACTTCCTTAGAAGTGCTTTCTAAACATGGGCTTGAAGGAGAGAGAAGGAAAATTCTCTAACCGGCAGATAGAGAAGACTTAAAAAGTGAATTACATTCCTCTTTTCACCTCAAGACAACCCCGTTGCTAGCAGCAAAATGCACCCAAGAAGATCAAAATACTCTGAGTCATGAAAGGGGGCAATGACCCCAGCATCACTGCTGGATGCCACCCCTGCCACAACCATAGCCCAGCTCCTGGAATTTTCAGCACAGTTTGACTAACACTTCTCTGCTTCGCACTTACACTCCAAACTGTTGCATACAACTGGTGACTGCTGTTAAGCAGTTACTTCCCTCCACAAATAAGTGGCCTCTACAGAAGGCAGTGTTTTTTCCTCTTCATAACACTGAACCCCACTTCCAAAGCCCCTTAAGCAGGCCTTCTGGCTGACATGCCCACTCCAAAGAAAACTATCTCAGCTATCTAGGTATTTCAGCAAATAGGTGTAAGGTTCCTACCTTGTGTAGCCCAGAAAATGCGGACAGCTGCAGAAGTCACATCTTTGCTCTTTACCCAGCTGTTGTTGCGGTGCCTGCTCCATGCAGAAATGACACAGAAGTAATCCCCTCTGTCACTTTCTGAAGTCCACTGGATTCGTAAACTGAAGGTGTCAACAGACTTTTTAGAGAAGATTATTTCCCCGTTCTGAGTCCGCTCTCTGCTTCTGTCCCCAAGCAGCAGAGTCCAGTCGGCATCCATCGTGGCCAGAAGTTCCTCTGTCACCACATCATCACTGCGCAGGCGCTGCCTGTAGTACCAGGAAACTGTGAAGCGGATGTTTGCTTCGGTGTCCTGTGCATTTGTGATCCTGCAATTGAGCTCTGTGGGGTCATCTGAAAACTTGGGTGTTTTAGAGGCATTCAGAAACACGTCATAGTCTGGCTCTGCAGGAGAGGAAACCCAGTAGAAAGAGGTTAGTAGCTACAAGTCGAAGGGAGAAAGTACCAGAGCTTATTAAGAGATACCACTAACTTCTAACTTTCAGTCTGTGCAAGCACCTGAACTAGAAGTCAAGCACCAGAATATGCATTTTTATCATGAGACCTGGGGACTGAGAACTTGGACTCCAGCTCTCAGAATCACGCCAGGTCTGACACAAGTATCCCTAGGCCTGCATTTCCAACGAAAACTTTCGATTCATATGTCTTGTCACACCATTTCAGAAAACTTAGTCCTAAGAGATCTTGTTGAGCAAATCATTGCCTTCTTTAGGCCTGGACCCCAAGAACCGAACCATGTACGTTCAGTTTCAGCTTCACCTTTTGCACCTGTGTGGGGCATCCTACAGCAACAGTAGACTGTCCTCTAACTTTGGACTTGACCAGACATTCCATTTCCACAGTTTCACTCCAGTATACAAGGTTATTTTCCATCTTGAAATGCCTTCTTTTCTACATTTAACCACCCCATCATGTCTCTACAAATGGTTTAAGAATATTTTAAAAAAAAAAAAAATCAATCCGAAACCCAAACACCTCACCCACCCATAGACCAAAAACAGGGGGCAGAGGCAGCACCAACAGCAGTGCACAGTAAATTTCAGAGGGCAGCATAACAAAAACTAAGTAAATTAAGAGTCAGAGATGCATGGATCAGAAGAGCTTCACAGTCTGGATTGAGAAGTAGGTGCTGTATAGCTATGAGGCTGGCAGGCCTCAAGCTTGAAAAGGAGTACCCGAAATTCATGGGTTAAGAATGAGGCTGTTGTATTTAAATCTGAAATAGCTGGCTGTCCAAAGCCTAGAAGCGATAAGGCAGCCACATGACTATTTTCTCTCAGACTACAAAGATAGTAATGGAAAAAGATAACAGCAGGAACCTCACACCATAAAAGAAATACATATTTATTTACTAGAGTTAGAATATTTTTCTGTCTTGCTGTCTACTATAATTCAGGAAAAAAGACTAGCTCTCCAACTGTTCAGCCAATACTCATCACATGGCTTTTACATTGCAAGTGTATTCAGTGCTCTGTATTTATTTCTTGCTTTATGCTTTATTTGGCATTTTGCCTGCCTAGAAACAATTAACCGAAGCTATAATTGGGACAAAGAAGGCAATCCAAAGCTAAAACTTAGGCTTAGTTCACCAATGCACCAAGATAATAAAGCATCTTAATAGAACCGCTGCGCAAACTGTTTGTGCACACGCACTTTTGGACTTCTGATGCAGAGGATAAAAAACAATTGTATCAAGCAAACTGGCTGCTGCTATGTCAGCTTGCAGAAAAGCTCTCTCACCATTAAGTGTTATGCATGCAATGTCCTTGCATCTAGCAAGAACAAGGGCATTAATACACACCAGATGCTAGTATCTAGTGATACTGATGGTGAGTTTCTGCAGTGTTAGGTAACACACAAGCATATAAGTACCTTTTACATAAGACCAGTGAACATGAGTGCAGATTTCTGTGCATTTTAAATATAAGTAAGGTAAAATAAAAAGAAAACACACAGAATGCCTGTGCTGCAACCAAGGCAAAGATTATTAATGGTGGCCAAAGCCCACTTTTGGTGCAAGTCCCCATCAATCCTACAGCTAATCTTCTCCAGGGCCTCATGATCTATTGCCCATGCCCTGCAATTTTCTCATTTCCCCTAATCTCCCCTTCCCACCCCAAAAAAAGGCCTCCAAAACTAAGTAATATTTTCATAGTAATAAAGACTATGAAAGTAGAAACTCTTCTCTTGACAGGAACACAAAAAGGAAAAAGATACAGGAAACTTAATTTCTTAGCAAATCACTTCAGGTTAGTTTTATTTGCAGTAGGGGGAATGACTGCTAACAAAGTTTTGGCTTTGACAGCACCACTCCAGATAGGCACTTCACCCTGACATACGCTCAAACAGAGGATTTAGAAAGAATAAAAGGCTGGCTGGATAAACCTTATTCCTTCACTCTGTCAGCTGTCAAAGAACAGCCACACTGACAGGTCAATGACTTAATATTCCAGCAGCTCTTAACTTCCATTAAGGAGGAAAAGATCATGAATTCTGGATGCAGTTGAAAACCTCAAATGCTAAGAATTTTTTCTTCTTTCCCTTGCACTAGCAATCAAGCACCTGCTGAAAAGCAGATTTTATTTTCTCCTGTTTCCAAATAATGTCAAATTGGAATGGAAAAATTAAGAAACAGACCTACAGGTACAGGCACTAAAAGAGAGTACACATGTGCATACAGTGCACCTGTGGATGCAGGAACATGTGTGCATGCATGCACACACCCAGGGTGGGAAGTTCAAGGTGCAATCTGAATGGTTTAATGAGGACAGGAAACAAAGACATTCATCACTTGCTCACTTCCAGCACACTTAAAAGTATACATGGAAAGTCATGGCCCAACTGCTTTGTACAATGCTACAATGCAAAATTCAAAGCCATTGTCATTGGGATTTAACCTTGTGACATAGCTATTTATTTCTAAAATCCAGGGTTCTGAGCAGGCTCTCTATATGCTGGCCTTATTCAGTACTTTTATGTCGGAGGAGCTCTGCCTTTGTAACTGGACAGAACCACTACTTTCTGATGACAAGAGGCTCTGAATGGGTACATTGAGAGGATTTAGGCCTGGATACTTGCATCCAGTGAAAGCTGGGAATAAACATCAAGTACTACAGCTCTGGCAGTTCTCTCCCAGTTTGTATCTATGTCCATTCATGTTTACAATATGACAAATTATTTGTGAATTTTAACGGGTGCAGGTACCTTACCTACAGCATCTGTAACACCATCCTAAGTTTCACTGCTTCTAAATTGAAGCTATTCTCTCCCTAAGATTAAACTACGAGGCAGGACAGGTAGGCTCACATACCTAGACCTACCTCTAAAATGACAGACTTCTAAGAAGTTTTGCTGGAGTTTCATTTTTAATATTACTCCCAAGTAACTTTACTTCTAAGGATATCTGTATAGAGATCTCCAGAGCTTAAGAGTCCAGCTGGGATAATGCAAAGCAGAACATTTACTATCTGCAACATGCATATGACACTGAATCACCAAAACAAGTGTTTTGGTAAAAAGGTTGTAGGAAAAGATACTGCAAAAAGATTTCTGCAGAAATGTTGAAGAAACATATGGAAGCCCCAGTCTCAAGTGTACAAATAATAATTTATTTATTTTTTTTCTGAAAGGCTGAAAATTCACTTATCTCTAGGACTGAATGATGAAAAAAGTACCACTCTGAGTGGGATGTTAATACTGCAGGAAAAGCTGTTTTAGTGGCCACTATGTTAATCATCACTGCTAGCATTAAGTTAGTCACAAGCAAGATCTCTCCCACTCAAAGTACTAAACAGCTATGTGACATGGTCTCATAAAATGGACTTGTGTGGTGAGGGAGAAGAATAAAACAGTATAATGTCATGTTCCATTCTAAATCCATCAGTAGGACGTGGTGTCTCTCATGATTAAAATAACAAAAAAAAACCAACAACAACAACTTCAAAAGCTAATAGAGTTAATTATGAAGTTTCCATTATAAATTTTTATGGTATATGACTCAAAAAAATAGGGGAAGCACCAGATGTCACAGTGTTTAGAGCTCAGAGAGAATGCCTGTTGCTGGATAAAAGCCCTGCTAATGACACAAGGGAGGTGAAAGGGGACAACATGACAACAGGAGTAACTTTAGCCCCTTGAAACAAGACAGGCTTTTAAGTTATACTTCCTAACTGCAGCCTGTTCAATGACAAAAGAAAGTGGAGTGCATGGGTGGGAAGTGTGGTAAGAGATACTAAAATCCTATAATGTACAAACCCAAATCCCCATAGAATAGATAAGTGTTTTTACATGTGAGAGAGATCCTAAATACAGATGATATATGCAAACAAGACAGAAACTAGCACAGACGAGATTCTGCCAGGCCCTCTCCCTTTTCTGTCTGATGCGACCAAGAAATAAGTGAGTGGTACATAACCCATTAAGTCTGAAAGTAGATCACTCACCTAATGCTGTCACCACCACACTGACGGGTGTAGATGTCCTCTCCACCACTTTATGCCAGCTCCCATTGTGCAGTGGTACCCAGACAGCTGCTTGGCAGAAGTAGTAGCCAGAGTCTTCAACATCCACATCACGCACCAACAGGCGATAGGAGTTCCTATCCACATGGCTCAGGCTGATGAGAGTTGAGTCACTGACAATAGAATCATGGTCCATGCTCAGCAAAACCTGAGCATCTGACAAGGTATCATCAGGTGATGCAGAGAAATACCACGTCACCTCTGCTTGGAAAATACCACTTCTGTCTGTTGTAATGTTGCATATAAGATCCAGTGAGTCCCTTTCAGTCACAGACACATTACTTGTTGAGATGACCACATCTAGAGCTTAGAAATTAAAAAAGAAAAATTCCAACAACAAAAAATATTTTTTTACTTTTTTTTTGTTTTTTCCATAAAGAATCTACTGTAAGCTATCCAGGACTTCACATTCTATTACAGAAGCTTTTGAAGTAGCTCAGTAGCCCTACCTTCAAAAGCCTGCTGGATACTGAGCTGCAAGATCTATTACAAGGGAAGTATGCATTATCAGTCAAGCAAGTGATGTATGACGAGGGCGGGGGAGGAAGGGAGGGAGAACAGGGTTTTTTTTAATTCAACAGCAACTGGTTCATGAAGACTTTGTCCCAATCACAGACTGCACATCACCTTCACACAGCTAGAAAATATGTATAGGATTTCCCATTCTCACTGGAGGATCCCAGTGTTTTGGGACTACCTCTCAGAAGAGAAACTGTCCACTGAAATCACTAGGAACTCCATTGTAATTTAACTTGTCTTCTGTTGAAAAGCTCTTGAGGTCTTGTTACAGAACACATTTAGATAAGAAAAGGCCATGGCCACACATTTGGACTCCTGACTGACCTCGTGTGTACTGGAGAAACATGAAATGGAAGCAAACAGAAGGCAGCCATAACTCCTTATACTGGTGACTTTTCTGCTTACTGCTCAACCAACACACTGGGGACTCTAAAGAAACACCAAAAGCCATTCAAAACATGTTTTACTAACTCCTCCACTGGCCAGTGAATATTTTTAATATACATGGCACATACAGTCATAACCAGCACTCAAACAGGACATTCTGCATTCTGTAGGTTACCAGGCTGGTCACAGCTTTGTAAAAAGAAAGCCATGAGATGTGTGTGGCCATGAGTGTCAAGGCCAGGAGTAGAAAAGCTGGCTCTAGTCACTGGTGAGAGGTGAACCAGAGGGGCTGTGCTTCAAGCCTGAGTGCCAATCACTCACCAAATTACTTGGCCACCACGTGTCTTCACTTGCTCATTCCTTCATTTTCTATTGCTTAAACATTAGATTAGTATCTCAGTGTAGCATGTTTCCCACAGTGTACAATGCAGTCTTAACTCAGGCTGGCAGACAGGGCTGCTACAGTAGTGGATCTTCTCAGATCTGTGACCAAGACCGTGAGGAAGAACACACATTCCTACCTTAAACAGGCAGTTGTATCTCTGGTGCAGATTAGTGACTGTTGTAAAACCATGTTCTACTACATTATAGGTACCCAACTGTAAAAGTTTTCTAGGATTATCACAAAGAATGAGAGAAAACATATAAAGGGCAGAGCAAAACCAAGCAGCCACAACTATTGCCAATAAAACCAAGCAATACTCATGTCACCACTCACCACCTAATAGCACAGAGCAGTCAAAATGAACAGAGGTAGTAAGCCCCACTCAAGTGGTAAAGAAAAGTCCATTGTCTGATGAGTATCTCATTGAGACATCCCTCACTGTCTTATCATGGGTTTGGAATCTGCAGGAAAGCTGAGTTAACTGAACAGACTAGTACCAGAATACAAGATAAGATTAATCTGCAAGGATAAGAACAGCATTTCTCCAAGGAACACTTCTGTCTTCATGAAATCGTGACAGGCATTCAGAATCTGGTAGTATATGCATACAGAGGGACTCAAAGAGAGTTCACCAATATGTATATTCTCAATGCTCGTTTTTTGGTTACAAACATGACTGAAGGCCTCACTTAGGGTTGCACCTGTTATGCAAGGCGCTATTAAAAAAAGACATACGAGAACAAAGTGTGCCCAAAGATGTCATGATATTACGAGACAGAAGTGAGGGGCAAGTAGATAGAAAAACAACAACAGGAAAAACAAGCACACTGTTCCACAAGTAATACGTCCATGAATTTTCATTATACTTTTAAAATTTTTGTTTCTACAATTCAACTCCAATTTACAGCAGGTGAGAATGAGGGAAATGCTGCAACCAGGCATACCATTCACAACTCAGCTTCATTTCAGCATGCAAGTGCAGAGGTTTCAGATGTCAGAACAAGACATTCTTCAAGTCCTACTACCAGATGTGAGGGTAAAAATTTCCACAACAGTTTTCTGGAGAGTAACCTATCCCATTTAGCGTAACTTCAAAAAAAAAAAAACACCTTAATGGTCCTGCAAAATGTCAGTGCTGCCACTAACTGAACTAAAAAGGATTAAAAAAAACGTTAAACAAAACAAAAACAAACAACCAAACACCACTACCCCCAAAAAAAACCAAAACAAACAACACCAAAACCAACACCCCAAACCAACAAAAAAACCCCAAAACGACACCAAAAAAGCCCACAAACAAAACTACACACCAACAACACATTAAAAAACTGCTCTATTACTGATCCTGGCCATTCTCATCCTGTTCTCTATCACTGATTAAATGCCACCTACTTAAACAAAACTCTTCAAAAGTGCAACAAAATCAAGAATTACAGCTCTTAATTAAGCAAGCTCTTCTTCAGCAGTGAGCATCTGCAAGCTTTACTGTGTAACAGACACCCTGAGAAAGAGGTAGCAGATTGAGCTGTTGAATTTCACAGGGTATGTGCCATTAGGATACTAAAACTACATCCAAATGTAGTTGGCAAAAAAAATAAGCAGTTCTCAGTTATAGAACCACAGAATGGTTAAGGTTGGAAAGGACCTTAAAGATCATCAGGTTCCAACCTCCCTGCTGTGAGCCAGGACACCTCACACTAGACTGCACAGGCTGCACAACGCCTGTTCTCCCAATAGTAACTAAAGTATTACAAAAATGAAAATATACCCTTTACTGTCTGAACACTTCTAAACTATCATCATAAGCTCACATTTCTGAGGGACCACCATTTCTGTTTTTCCTCCTATTGAGCGACAAGATGCATCACTCCCTGCTTTCCTCCTCCAGCTAGCGGTGCTAATGCTACTGCCATTAAGTGCTTAGTGCATCTACTCCTGAAATTTATATAGGCAGAGATATCTGGATATCCTCAGCATAGCACTATTTGTATTTTTGTCTCCTTAGTTAAACATGCAATGATGTGTTTAACAGAAGAACCATTACTATCCTAGACCGCTGCCAACACAGTGGAGCAATCAAACCACTGATCCAGTGTCAGTGATAAAAATCACTGGATAAGTTGTCCTGTTGAATTACCACTGCCCTTCTCCTCCCTCTTGATCCTTCTATGCTGTTTTAATAAACAACTTACAGAGAAGCTTCATATCTGTCACTGACTCACAAGACACTTCTACAGAGGAAGCGCAGATACTTCACACTATGGGACAACCCTATATTAATGAGAGAACAAAGAGGAGGTTTGGGATGAACAGGGTTAGATACAATGTTTATTTAAGAAATATGAAAACTAGAAGCTGAAGTGAACTAAGGATGAGATAAAATCTACGTCTAGGCATCAAAGAGGTTCCAGTCAATTCTTCCACAGCATCATTCCCCTTCTCCCCAGAATAAAAGCCAGAAAAATTATGCCAAGCATTTTCTATCAACTTACATGTAAAACAGACCAGCCATCCAAACAGCACCCTAGGTTCTCCTGGAATGTATCCTCACATACTTCAGCTTACTTTTCTGTTCTCAAATTATCACTCTGGACACAGCACTGTAGTAGCTATGAGCTGGGACCCCAGCCCATCAGTAACACTCACCAGTCCGTTGGATTGCCACACTCGCTATCTCCACGCTCTTCTCCTGAATCTTCTGCCATGAATTATCTGCCCCTCTCACCCATTCACTCACAAGACACCTGTAGGCACCTCCATCCACTGACGAGGCCTGAGATACAGATAACCAATATGTGTCATTGGCTCCTGTGTCCAAGCGGATGTCTCCGTTACGGTAGCGCTCTTCATAGCCAGGACCTGGCTGGAATCTGCCTTCATGAGTCAAAGATAGGATGTCCTGCCAAGTCAATCCACTTTTGATCTGCCAAGTCACGTGCAGGTGAGTGTGCTCCAATGAGGTGGTAACTGCTGAGCAGCGCAACTTGAAGGAGTCACCCTCAGACAGCCTGAGAGACATCAAGGAACGTGCTTTCGGACCACTCACTGATAAGCCATCAGAAATCACTATTTAAAGAAAAAAAAAAACAAAACGACAAAAACACACAAGCATCATAAACCAGAAAGCAAGCAGAGAACATCCACACTGACCTTTTAAGATATGAGGCAGTAAAACTACAACAGAGCAACACCTGGCCAATCATTCATTCTTTCACATAAATATACTCCAGGAAGAAGGAAATCCAGATGAAAATCCATTAAAGGAAGTGCTCCACTTTAAACAAGCCAAGACAAGCATATACCTTTATCATTCCCCTTCCTTTAATTTCTCATCCAAACATCATCATTCTGACTACTCCCCATCCAGAACCATCTTGATTTTCATGGGAGTAAAAGATAAGACACTTGAAAAAAAAAAGATCATCCAAGTTGCTACTGAAAAGCCCTTAATGAGAGAGCAAAGCTAGGGCATGACAGCAGTATCAATAGGCTAAAGTGGAAAAGGAAGATTACTCCCTTCATATAGAAAAAACCCCAAATTACACTGTAAATAAAACAGAGAAGATAGGCTGTGAGGTTAGCCTCTCTATCAGGGGTTAGGGACATTAAATATTTGCAATTATCTTCAGAAACCCCACTATTTAGTTTTCCCATTTTTTTTTACATTTTTACTAGGAAAAAAAAAAAAAAAGAAAATGGTGTTTAAACAGCCTCTCTTAACTTCCTCATTTGCTTTTGCTATGATATTTCCCAATTATGGATTTTGGCTTTAGGAGAATTAAACAGGAACAGGAAGAAGAAAATGAAAATAAAAACCACAATGTTTTTAAGCAACAGAAATTCAACATTCTTAAGTATACATCCATAATCAGTATCAAAAACAAATTTAGAGCACACCTCACTCCTCAGAAATACCTTTCACTTGGACCTCTGCATCATAATTTCCCTGAACAGTGGCATCCGTACTGGGCGTAGAGCATTTGTATCTCCCTTGGTCAGTTGGCTGGATGTTTCTAACCACAAGTTCCACAGCGTCATTGCTGCTACGTCTCAGTTGGATATCTCCGTTGCCCACACGTTTTTGGTACTCCTCAGAGGTGAACGCAGGATCCCAGGTACTCACTATCCGCACAAAGTCCGTGTCCTGGGAGAACTCCCAGTCAAAGTTCTGTTCACTGGGACCATCGTAGTCACTAACGCTGCAAGGGATCACCACCTCCGTGCCAATGACTCGAATAAGAGGACCTCTGGGCACCCTCACAACACGCCCTGTGCAGAAAGCTAGGCAGGAGAGTAAAAGAAAGAAAACATACAGTTAACAAGTTACCAGGACAGACTTCAAAAAATATATATAAAGTTGGGCATTCAAGTTTGCAGAAAGCTAGAACTAGTAAGAGCAGTACTTTCCATTAACATTTAATCTCACTAGAGCAGGAGACCCTAGATAGACACACTGTTTTTAGTGCACGGTGTCTCTGTTTCATTATTTGGAAACACATTAGGTAATGAAATACTGAGGGAGAGAAATCCGTAAGGAGGAAAATCAAAGGAGAGAACTAGCCATAGATCCAATAGGTAGCAGTTTCTCTACTATAAGCCAAGCACTATGTAAGACACTTAAACATCATTAATAAGTGGTTTTCATTACTACATAATCTAATCAGGCATTTTTCTAAGTCTTGTGCTGACATCAGTAGAGGGTTTGGAGCAGGAAACTAAATCTCTCCCCTAGCTTGAGGGCAAAAATAGGTAGGTTGACATTCTCCAAAAATGAGCACAGTCACTTCTGCCCTGAAGGGTCACGGCTTGCCTAACACAGGTTAGCTTCCTTGCCTTCCTAATTGCTTTAAAAGGAAGAACCAATTTCAACAGACACAGTTTGCTTGAGCAGATTTCTGCAGCCACATGTGTATCTAGCACACATTTCCTCTTTGGTTAAAGTTCCAGAACATGGGATCATGAGCAAAGGAGGCTTCCCCTAGAGCAGAGGAACACAGTGTTCAGACCATGTCTTCTGGAACTGTCTCATTAGAAGGCTAGAATGGCAGCAGCAGTTCCCTGCAGAAGGTTGGTAAAGCAGTATGCCATGCTCAAGGCAGAAGTGTGAACCACTTAAACTAGGCAGAGGACCTGGCAAGAACACAGCAGGAGACTCAACTGGTTGATTTAGCTTTGTAACCCAAAGAACAACCCCAGCAGTTGCACATTGATTTTGGTACATTTTTACTTCCCAAAAGAGCAAACTGCTTTGATTCCTAGTTCCAACCATATCAGTCTTTTCAGAAAGAGAGGTACTACCTAACCTCAATTTCCAAACACAGACTGCCTACTTAATCCCACCAGCTCCATATCCATATCAAAATAGCCAGAACACTGAAGGACATGATGGTTCTAACTCATCAGCTACACTGGAACAGCCAGCAGCTAGAGACATGAACACCAACATACTTGCTGCACATTCCCCTCCTATCACTTTGTCTTCTTGCTGTAGATTAAGAGTCCACTTCACTGACTCAGACCCATCATACCAATTAGGTATCTGGTACAGGCAAAGTTAGTCAGTCTTGTGGAAAGAAACCACCCACTGGGGAACCTGTTGTAAAGCACTGCTTGCCCCCTCCAGAGCAGCATGGAGAAGGATGTGTTAAAGAATCAAGATTTCTGTGGACATTAAAAAACTACACAAGCAACTGTACACACTGATCATAACTACAATAGAAAAAGGGAATTTTTATTCCCAGCTACAGCTCAGCAAACAGCTGAACCAAGGACTAACACTGTCTTTACGTCCCTGGTTCATAAGTGCCAGCATACTCTTTGCTTTGCAGGTGATTCACATGTATCAGCTCAGTCATAACAGTCCCATTTCCTCATAGTCATGACCTTCTGTATTCAACATTAGTGCTTCATTAAACCTATTTGTAATGTAGGCTGGTGTTAAACTCTTACCCCTTATATCCCTCCCAGAAGACAGTTATGTTCCTCATCAAGTGATTGCCTAGTCCTATTAAGGAAGTTGGACTTCTCTGCACCTTTCACATGTGAATCAGAGAGGAAAAAACTCTTCTGCCAATGTACTGCTCCACAACCAGATGTCTGTAAGGACATCTCTCTAAACACATGCACCATATAGTAAAATCATTGATACAGAAAAATAACCAACAAAAAATAAAGAAAGCTTCAGGGTTCCAATGTATTTCCTTACTAGGTCTTAAATTGCTGCCCCATTCAATCTTTCAAATTGTCCTCTTACTGAAAGCATTAGCAGCAGCAGGTAAGCTTTAAAGCGCTGACAGGCAGCCAAACCAGATTCCAGCATACCACTGTGAGAAGTCAGCTCAAGATCCTGAGGACACTCCTCAAACATTGACATCTCTCTCCTGTGACACTAAAACAAGCAGACAGCACTGTTACGCACGTGTCTTCAGCTGCAGACCCATATACAGTGCACTGCACTAATCCGATCTAGGGGTGACAAAGGCATGACAAATGTGGCACAGGGTGCACATCTTTGGTTTGAGATTAGCACCAGCAACTCCATTTCTTTTCTTCAAAGGTCACTGAAGACCCTTTGACACTAAATTAAGGTAAGGAGCAATTAGTACCTTCATAAGAGAAGGCAGGCCGAAAGAAAACAGAGGCACAGGGACACCTCAGCAGATCTGAACAGAATTCATACCCTATTGCTGTAAAGCAATGACTATCCCCCTCCTCACAGCACAGACCCACAAGTAATTCCAGTTTAATATGAATTTGGAAGAAGGACAGTGGAACAGGCTGCAGGAGGGAGAGCGCTTGTAAGAGTTCTAGTTTTATATTTTACAAACAATAACACTTATTACTGCTAAGATAAAGTAGGATTCTCGTAAAGCAGGAGCACACAGAGACAGTATCACAACATAACAGAATGAGAATTTACTGCAGAGCATCAGCCCACAGGTAAAAAGAAGCACGGACAGGGCAGACACTCAAAGGGTAAGCTGCATTTCTAGGTGATCCAAGGGGCTCAGTATCTAGCAAACCATGAATTCAGGGTTCTGCCTTTTGTCCTGCAGCAGTCAACAGCAAAAGTATCCCTAGTTATTAAACAAGATGTTAAGTTCTTTTCTGTGCATTAGGGATTAACTTCTCATGTAGCTGTAGCAGAAGGCACAGAGGTATAGACACTGATCTTGGCAAGAGGCAAGGTCCGTTTTACTCTGGTAGATAAATCAGGAGCTTTTTCAAATATTTTATTCTTGCAGTGCCATGTGTTACTCACATACACCCCCCCCCTCCATCTTCCCAGGGCAATAAAGTTCAGCTTTCATGATACATGAGCTTCAAACTCTGTAAATTTGCTGGAAATATTTTTTTCATGACACCTAATATATTTCACAGTTAATATAAGATGATATGTTCTTAATAAATTCACTTGAATCCTATTTATTTGTAGAAATGGAGGAGGACAGAAAAGAGTATACACTAGTGACCAAAAACATCAGAACTTTGACAACTAAGTATTTTTCAGTACCACTGCGATCACTAAAGATGTGTGTTTAGTAAGAACTCAGTAACTGGCTCTGTATCATAAATGAAAATGCTAACATCAAACCTGCCTGAGCACAATTGCCTAAATAAAAACTTAATTTTTACAGAGTTACCAGACCACTAGATGAAATTGCAAGGAAATGTTTTCCAAAATAGAAGATAATGAAGCCCCTGTAAGGAGGCCAGCACACAAACATAAAGGATGGGACTTGGTCCTTACGGTTGTTAAGACAGGTGACATGACTACCAGGCAACACTGGTGCTTTTGCAAGTCTGGGCCAGAAACACCCAAAGCACAGAACAACCACAGAGCCTTCATGGCTGTTTGTCAAGCACTTGATCAGAGAGTCCTCCCAAGGGAATGCGTTAAATACTCCACCAGGAATGGGAGCAAAGCATGACTCAAGTTAGAATAACAGACTAGGGCTTGCCATATTAATGAGACAGAGGCAAGATAGTCCAGGCTAGCCTAGGCAGTTTTGAGGTACTGTTTGCCTGTAGCAATCGTCCCTGAAGTACTTAATTTGTCCCATCTCCTAGATGCATCATCTCATTCTGGTCACTAAATGAAATCCTTTCAAAGAGGAGAACAAGGTAAGCAGAACAGATAAACTGAGAAGTCAATCCAAATACATTAAATAGCAACTTGTCATTTTTAGGGTAACCAAGAAAACAAGGCAGCAAAATAGTGCAGGATCTATGGAACAGGTGGTCTGTTTAAATGCTCAACAAGCTACACAATTTGTCAAGTAAAGGGTTGGTGAGGATTTCCTCTTGCATTAAGGATAGTGCTATAGATGAGGAAGCTCTTCTAGGAGCTTAATCTAGACAGGTTTCGCATCTGCCTATCACTTAAGAAAGAACAAAATGAGACCTAATCTATGGAGTCGCTCACAAGGCTGAGAAGGTATTATCATCGCAAAGAACACACTTCTGCTTCAGCACTCCTACACAAGGTGCTTCCTCCAGCCTATGCTAGACAGTTCTAATAAGCAAGCATGTTCTCTTAGCAGCCCAGAGAAGGAGGTTGACTCTACATATCCAGCAAACAGAAAATGCAATGTGACATGTAGTAGGAAGCCAATTAAAGCTAAAAAAGTAAGAGCTGAAGAATGAGTAAATTGGTTCAGACTAAGCACTCGAGCTTCTGCACCAGAAAGACTCACAACACAGTGCAGCTTCTCAACCAAGGCAGTCACAGGAGACACAGTGACAACTTTGCTGATGCCTTTCATCTCAAAAGAGCTTTCCAAACAAAAGGTTGTTTCATTTGCCAACTAAACATTACCATGTCTGAAAAGGAAATACAGCAGCCTTTTCAAATTCACAACAGTTTATGACAGGAAGAAAATACTGCAGCCAGCTTTGCAAACGGTGGTAATGATTTTCCCTCCCTGAACTCCTCTGTTTATTTTCAATCCAGGCACTGCTTTTGCTGCAGTACTGTGTAAACGAGGGAGCTGAGCACGGACAACCGTTCCTGTGCCACACTAGGGAGCAGGCAATGGATTCCCCACCATTACAGCTGTGCACTCTGCCTCCAATTTCCAGCAAAATCCCAGATCTCCCGCTTCTGCATTGCACTGCTTACCTACAATGTTTGTGATGCAGGAAGCCATTTTATTAAGTGGAGGAGGGGGAAAGATTTTTGCCTGTTTGTTTTTTTTTCCCACCAAAGAGACATGTCCACACAAATCTTCTCAATTTTGCAAAAGAACTGATCACGCTCCTGCTGGGAGGCATTCAGCAACTTCCCTGGTGAGC